CTCAACTTAAGAAAAGAAAAAAGAAAATCACATGGTTAGGTTTGTTAAGATCTATTGTCAGAACAAGTCTTTGTGAAGTTGTAAAGAAGGAACCATAAAGTCATGCGAGTTTTGCTGTTGTACTCCCAGGGCTTAAGATGGAAAGAGCATTAGATTGTAGAGTTCTGCGGTACTTATGGTATGAGACATCCCCTTGGGGGCGTTGGGCCTCAGCCCCTTGGATTAGCAGGAACTGTGTGTGTTTTGTACCCTGTGGCTGTCTCCTGGGGAAAATTGCTAGAAGAGGTTCTGTGGGTTCAAAGGGTAAATGCAGATGGATTGGTGATACCTGCTGCCAGATTTTCTGCAGTGAAATTGGTTACACCACTGTCTTCCCACAAGAGATAAGTAAGAGCATTTGCTTCCCTGCAGCTTTGCACACAGAGCTGGTAAACTTTGACATTTTTGCCAATCTGATAGGTGAGAAATAGCATCTCAAGGAAGTTTTAGCATGCATTTTCCACATAACAAGCAAGCGTCTTTTCTTACGTTTTAAGATCATTTGTTTCATATTGCTTTTTAAAAAACTTATTTCTTCCGTCTCAGTTTGCTAGTATCACATTAGCTGAAACAGCAGCTGCATTAGAGTTCTCTAGAAGAACAGAATTACAACCAAATTCATCTCCTTCAAATCTCTTCTCTCTCTCTTTTCCTTTTTTGCAGTCCTGGGGTTTGAACCCAGGGCCTTCACACTGAACTCCACCTCTGAGCCTCCTCCGTGCCTCTCTCTCATTTTTGCCTCCGTCTTTCTCTGTTTCTCTGTCTCTTTGAAACTCAGCCAGGAGGGTGCATGCCTGTAATCCCAGCACTCTGGGAGACTCAGGCAAGAGGATCACAACTTTGAGCCCAGGCTGGGCAACTTAGCAACTTAGCTAGACCCTGTCTCAAAATTTAAAAAATTTAAAAGGGGCTAGAGATGTAGCCCAGTGTGAGGGTTCTGGGTGCAATTGCCCATACTGAAAAAGAACAGGTAAAATTACTCCATTTACTTCATCTTTCAATTATTGAAGAAATAGAACCCAGAACACTTAGATCCTTGTTAAGATTTCCATTCAAGGCACTGATTAGACAGACAAAGAATTTGACATCAGGTACTCTTGGAACAAAATGATGTTATATAAAATGCTGTTCGTTTACAGCCTGATAAAGAAAAGAAATGTAACTCCATAACAATAAAAAATGCCCTTGCTCCATCCTGGAGTATCAAATTCAATATTTTCTTCCAGACAAAACAATCATTCTTTGGTTATGGGTTTGGTTCTCTGTCCCTTTTCTGAAAATCTTTCCTTGGATTGACAAATACCTAATCCAGTCCAGGAGTTAATGAGTTGCCTGTCAATTTGGAATTTGAGATTTCTTTTTCAGTTATAAAAGCTAGATATTAATCTATCGACTGTTAAGTATCTAGAACAGAATATGAAACTCAGGAAATATATCCTGTGTTCCCCACAACTATTTACTACATAGTATAAATAAAATATCTCAAAGTGACTGATTCTACTTTTCTCCAATCCTCTAGAGATCACTTAGACCTGGTCCAAAGAAGAACCTATATTATTAAAATGGAAAAAAATCTAAGTTCTCTCCAAAGGATGATGTTTTTGTTTCAAAAGAAGATTCTCAGGAAAATCTACAGTAAATTATTCATAGCTTTTAAAGTTCATATTCTTATTAAAATTATAAAATTTAATAAACCATATCTTCTTCAAATTTTTCTTATAGTTCTAATATTCCATGAAAGAAAAATCACTTGTGTTTGTATTGTATGATTTCTTTTCTTTTCGTCTTGGACCATATACAAAATTTGATTAGAGAAAACATCAAATCCAAATCTCTATCTCTGTTTTGAGTTTGGGAAACTTTCAAATTCAATCTGATTAACATTTATAAAGATCTCCTTTACTTACAGTGGGGTTATATCCTGATAACCCCAACTTAAACTGAAAATACTGCCAAGTTGAAAATGCATTTCATATTTCTAACCTATAAATATCATAGCTTAGCCCACTTTAAACATGCTCAGAATGTCTACATTAGCTTACAGTTGGGAAAAATAATCAACACAAGGATTATTTTATAATAAAGTGTTGAATATCTCATATAATTTATTGGATACTTGTATCCAAAAATGTTGGCAACATAGAACATTGTACAGGGTTAGTTGATTACTCTGGTAATCATGTGCCTCACTGGGAGCTGTGGTTTGCTGCTGCTGTCCAGGATCATGAGAGAATCCTGTTCTACATATTGCTAGCCCAGGAAAAGATCAAAATTCAAACTCTTGAGCTTGTTTAGTTTCTACTGAATGTGTACTGTTTTCACACCATGGTAAATTCAAAATATTATAAATCAAGCCATCATAAGTCAGGTACATTGTACATTAATTGTGCAATTATTACGTCCTAGGTGCACTGCTAGTTCTTGTGAGAGCACAGTGTGCAAGTCCCAGAGCTTATTTTGAAGTCATTTACTGTCTAGGCAGAAAGAAGAGTATATACCAAATATCATACCAGTCAGCAATAAAAAGTGTTCTGAGGAGCCTACAAAAAAAGGGAAATAGGAGAATCTATTCTATGGGAGGGTTCAGAAATAAGGTCATAAATGAGTTCAACCAAGTCACTCCGTAAATACACAAGGCCCAGTGGATAGAGTCTTTATAAAGCAAGAGGAATTTTAGAATTTAGGTTGTGAAAACTGGCATCACTTAGAAAGCTTTTGTCACCCTGCCCAGTGATCCCTCTCTGCAGGTCTCTATTCAGCCTCAGGATAGACTTCATTCCAGGGATGCTGCTCAGGACCCACAGGACCCCAGGTGTCCCTGTGAATTCCCAGAGCCAAGGTGAGCCCTCAGCATACAGTGTGAAAGCATGAGTGGCCTGACCTTTCAACAGCACTTTGTAAAGGGAATCAAGTCAGCTAGCTTGGTTGGTTTGCTTTTGCACTTTTACTATTGTGTGTTGTGTGTCCATGCTAGCATCTTTGTGCATCATGGAGAGGTGTCTATGTAGTGTGTGTGTGTGTGTGTATGTGTGTGTGATCTTTCTTTTTTTTTTGGTACTGGGGATTGAACTTGGGTCCTTGCACTTGCACAGCAGGCAGCAAAACCACTGAGCTAAGTCCCCGGCCCTGTGTGTGTAATCTTAACCTCAAGATTTTGGCTCTCCTAGCTCTCTGTTCAGTGATGGCAGTGGCACAAGTTCATGACTCAACAAGTTAAACACGGACAAGAGAAGATGAAAAAGGGAAAATAGGGCCTGAAATGGACAAACAGTGAATTTACATTAGTTAAAACATCTATGACTACTCCAGAAAATCACCAATCACCTTACAAGAGACACTGGGACCTGCTTATATGTACATATATAAGCAAAAATTATATCTGTATATATATATATAATAGCATATAATACATAATAAAAGTACTTATAAGGAAAATATATATTGTTCATATTTTTATTTTAGTACTTTAGTACTTTTGATTCCTAGATGATTAGCTTTTTACCATTAAATCTGACTCTAAGGATCACTTTATTATTGTATTTTACTTTCTATAGTATAAGCCACATCTCATAATGGAAAATAACAAGGGAATGGCATTCAAGTTTCTAGAAACTATTTTATAGTTACAGATATTATAGAAAATAGAACTTTTCCATTTAAGGCAAGGAAATATGCTAACAGCCATTAGATAAATTCATGGATAATATTTAGGCCTTGCCTAAGAGATTTTCTTAATTCTTAAAAAGATCACACACACACACACACACACACACAGAGCCAGTAAAAACATTACTTCATTCTAGCACAACTTAACCCCTTGCCATTCTATAAGTGCTTTTAACTTCACTGGGCAGCTTTTTAAAACACAAATTCTCAAACTTATCTTAAACTGATGAATTAGAATCTGCATTTTAACAAATCCGGTGCATGATTTGTGTGTGCATTAAAGTTTTAGAAGCATTCCAGGCCTTTACAGAGCTTCCATGAAGAGAAGGTAAATTATTCTATGAATCTTCAGTGGGGGTTCCTTCCAAAGATCCTATAAACTCCTCTCTTTCTTTCTTTCTCTCTCTCTCTTTCTCTCTCTCTCTCTCTCTTTCTTTCTTTCTTTCTTTCTTCCTTTCTTCCTTCCTGCCTTCCTTCCTCCCTCCCTCCCTTCCTTCCTTCCATCCTGGGGATTGAATCCAGAGCCTCACACATGCTAGGCAACTGTTCTACTACTGAGCTACATTCCAGACCCTTCTATGTACTATACTTCTATATAGCCCCTTTCTATATCTTGCCTAAACTTACTTAAAATGTAACTTGAAATTTGGTGGTCTCCCTATTTCATATCCAATCCAGTGATGCTATGTGCCACACACTGCTCCCACCACCTCTTCTACCACAGCTTGTGAGAGGGAGAGAAAGGAGGAGCTGCTGATTTGAACTAGAGAATTATATATGCTTTTTAGTGCATGAAGGAGATGTCAATGCCACGGCTACCATTATTAGTTCTTCTCTAAGGATTATCTTAGGGTCCAAGCAATACAAGAAAACTTCCTCATCTCTCTACCCAAAGCTTTTGTGTTTTATAGAAGTGAGTTAGAGTAATAAGAAATTTCTTTGCTTGAGTTTCTTCATTATTCATCTTCAAAATTTGCCACTTTGAGAATCTAAGAAGTGACTGAGTTTCAGGCACCTTGAGACATGGCTGCTGAGAGGTATCTCTGCCATTGAGCTAAAAGCTGGAGAGAAAAGCCCTCCATTCTCTCTTAAACTTGACTCACAGAAAGACTGGGAGCCTAACTCTAACTTCAGAAGCAAGCATTTTCTTACCATGACTCTTTGTGTTGGAGTGAGCCTAGCTAATGGTGACACTGATAAAGACAAGGATAAGAGACCCTGCTGAAGCAACAGCAGAATGAAGATGTGTGAAAAAAACATTTCATGTCTTTAAGCAACAAAAGGAGGTGACATACCCGAGCTGCATCCCAGACACCCTTCCTCACAAGGCAAGCACTCCTCGTAGTCTGAATCTTGGACTTCACCTGAGCACGCAGAGGAGTGAAAAGCAACTCATTTCCAGTAAGTGGAGACACATCGATTGTTAGGAGAATATGTTGATGTGTAGCTTATTTTTAAATCATAGAGCAATTATGCAACCAAAATCATGCTGGAGGATATACATGTCATATACGTCTTTATCATTTTCTATCAATTTAATAAATTAGATCAGCTTGATTGGGTATAAATAGAATAAAATTGAACCATATGCCATGGAACTAGTTTGGAAGTCATGCTGGTAGATTTTGTTAATGAAATCAATTCTGCTTCTTGGAAAATACAATTGTGTATATATATGAACAGGCTCCGTTTCTCTTTTCATCTGTCTTACCAACACATTTCTAAAAAATAATTTAAATTCTTTTATTATATTTGTTAACATTAAGGAGAAATAGAACGTTTTTATTCTAAAAATATCTTGGAGCTTTCTTAAGCACCAGACCAGGTATAACTCTTATACAGAGCAGAGCAATGGTCTGTAGCATTCTTACATAGAAGGGAGCGAGAATTCTAAGCGTTGTTTTTTAATTTCCCTCTTCCATATGAGATAAAGTTGGGCAAAACCAATAATACTTCAATTCAGACTGCTTTAGGGTTTTCCAGGAAGCTGGTTCTCACTCGCTTCTCGCAGTGACCCTATCTTGGTGTTATGCTCTCGCTTTTACAAACAAAGAAACCAAGGCATGGAGAAATTACATTAGTTTTCCCTTGAGTCTCATAGGTAGTAATTGAGAAGGAGAAAATTACTGGACATGACTTTCAGATTTGAATCTAATTTTCTCCCCACTGTGTTCAGTCCACCCACTTCCCAGTGGAGATGATCAGCTGCCATTCCTAGGATCCTGGATTGTGTCTGGGGAAGCCAGGGAGAAGGTTGTGGGGGAAGAGGGAGGGGCAGCTAAGGAGTCACCTAGTCACCTGAAAGCTCAATATTAAACCCAGACAATGAAAGTCTCCAGGATGTCCAGGAGTAGAGACAGCTGCTCGCCCCACCCCCTGTCCTGGGCGAGCCCAGAGCAGTCTCACCTTGCCCACACTCTAGCTTCTGGCAGGTGTGGTTGGTGGGTCCTAGGACGTAGCCACTCGCGCACCTGATGCAGATGTGTGGGTTGTGGCAAAGCTCACAGTTGCCCGGGCAGGGCAGGCAGGTGCGCCCCTCGGCAGGGGCGAGGCCCGCCGGGCAGCTCTCTCGACACTCGCCCCGGTACAGGAAGCTCTCTCTGCCGTGCTTGTCTGACCAGTTAGGGGGCAACGGAAAAACAGAAAATGTACAAAATCAGCCATGAAGCTACTGTGAGACATTTTATTAAAAAAAGAAACGACCGAATGCTTTTGTTCCTAAGGGACCAGAAGTATAAGAATGGATTTAATGAAAAGTGCAATATCTACGTCCTTGTTGTTGAAAAGTTTTCCTTGCAGGGGATCATCTTTCAATATTTTATATATTCAAGTGACCAGCCACTGCTATCTGGGATGTCATTGCAAAACCACAAACCATGCTCTGTGAATAGCTACAATTCAAATATCCTTAACTTCCCCTAGGGGTTCTTTTGGTATGTATGGAACTTCTTCGATGTGGGGGTTACAGAGATCCCATAAGAACAAACACATGCTTAATGATGGACACATTTTATGAAAGTGCAGTGTTTTAAAATGACTTGGAGTTGTCATCAATATCATATACTTTTGTTAACTGACTAAAGTCTGAATTGTTACAAAGCTACCAAATCTGACAATGAGGCTCTACTGAAGCGCTAGGCCACGTACACCTCTGTCTTTTGTCCGTGCATTCCCGGGGGCTCCTGACGTCCGTCCACACTGGACTCTGGAGGGAAAGAATCACCATACCCCCAGAAGGACAGACTATGGGAATTTGTTCTTGGAAAGATTGGGAAAATCTAATCAGTTTACAAAAGATCACAATTTGTTACAAAAGATTATAACCACGCAGAAATATATAAATCAACAGTAAGATGAATACTGTGGATGCACCTGGAGGTTACCTACTCCCAGCCTCCTGCAGTTTTTATGCTGAGTATACTCAGGGCATCTGTCTTTTCTGAATTGGACTTCCCTTATGTCGCTGCCTCTGAGGAGCAGGCAGTCTGTGTTACCCAGAATAACTGGGGTCTAGTGTTCATCCACCACATGATCCACCACATGGAGATTCTAAGCCATTGCCCTTCAAGATGCAAGGCTGCTGACTTTGTGGATAAAGAGCACTCATTCCTGTTGCAAGCTTAGAAGCTGAAATTCAGAACAATGTTAGACCGAACTACTGATATTTAATTTTTGCCTTTAAGTATAGCACTTTCAAATATCTGTCCTAAGATTTCTTGTTTAATCAGATCTCTAGTTCAAATACAGTTTTATTTTATTTTCCTCAATTTTTTTTATCAGTGTATGTTTGTGATACATAGTAAATACATTCATCGTGGGATATTGGTACATATACAATATTGCATCTTGATCCTTTTTACTTCTTCTTCCCTTTCTCCCTCCTGTCTCCGGCTATCAAATATAATTTTAAAAGCACATTGTTTGATTATAGGCTCTCAAGCTACTGCTTTTCTCACTGTAATTTCATACCAGAAGTCTTTTGGTTCCTCCAGGACCAAGAAAACAAAGAGAGCTACCAGAGAGATGGAGGAAAACAGGTATCAGTGGTTTTGAAGATGGACTTAGAAGAGCATTGTCATCCAAGGCCAAAAGAGTGTGGGGAGTTTGTAGAGAGCACTTGGTGATAGCATAGCTACAGAACAAGATTGTGGAGCACGGAACTCTGATTTGATGAAATCTAGGAAATCAGGGGACCACGAGAGGGTCAACCTTCCAAGTTATGTAGTTATGTTTTTTGCAGCCCCTTTATGAAACCCTAGCAAATCCCATTTCCACTCTGACTCCTTTACAATTGATCTTGTGTTTTCAGAGTGCAACAATTGCACTGATGTAAGTGGAAAGATCTGTGAGACAGCAGCAAGGAGGCCTACCTCTCTATACAGTGGTTGCTCTATATCACCCACACCTTTGCTGGGCATCCTCTCAGGATCCAAAAGCCCAGAGACAACCTGGCATCCAGAAAGTTCCCTAAGCATGTATTTGTTGAACGGTGAATGAGTGAGACAGTGAATTTGTATTTAGCGGTATTCATTTTCCCTTTATATCCAGTTGGATAATAATCTTAAACAATTAACAATGATGGGCTCTCCCTTAGTTACTTTGCTCTCATTGCTGAGACAAAATACCTGACACCCAAATTTAAAAAGGGAAAGGTTTATTTAGCTCACAGTTTGTAGAGGTTTCAGCCCATAATTGGCTGGCTCCAAGGCAGGGTGGCATGGCAGAGGGGCATTGCAGAGGAGAAAGAATTTATGGCAGTGGACAAGAGGTAACAAAAGCAAGTGAGGAAGGGACCTGAACAGTGTTTTTCTGCTCCTTTTATCTTATCCAGGCAATTTAGGGCAAGTAGCACTCACACCCTTTATCCTAGTGCCCTTGATCCTAACATTGCACCATGAATCAATTCCAATGTCACACACTCTAGACCCAGCCACCCCTGAAAAAGCCCCACCTATGACCACATGAGGCTTTGGGGGGACATCTATGCACAAGCCATAACAGTTTCCAGTATCAAAAGAAATGTTATTTGATCTGATTTTTATTGTTTGAACATGGATTTGTTTTTAATTTGGACCATTTGGAGTGTTATCATTTGCATTTAAAGAACAGAGATGTGGGGCCTGGGATTTAGCTCAGTGGCACCACACCTGCCTCGAAAGCACAAGGTTCTGAGTTTGATCCCTGGTACCAGGAAAAAACAAATACATAAAGGACAGAGATCTGAAGGGCCTCAGTTCTTAAAACATACAGACTCCATAAAAAGAGGTTATTTAGATTTCTTGTCCATGGCTAGCTTTCCCCACAAGTTTGCTGCAGGATTATGTCAAGATTTAGTCATATTTCTGATAGTGTCAATAGTTTGCCAGCTCATTTAGTTATGGATGATAATTCAGGAAGCTCAGAGATTTGAAAGCCATGCATAATTTTTGGCTTCTTGCTCAGGGTCTCCAAATTTAAATGACTACAATAGTGTGTAAGAGAAGCTTGATCCAGTAGTAGAAAGGCTGGCATTTTGGGGCAGGTACCACTTTCACAGTATAATGTGAGACTACAATTAAGACTCAGGGAAGTAAAAGAGGATCAGCTTGGTGTTCAGGTATTCCAGAGAGTAACCAGCTGCTACCAGAGCATTTCTTGGCAGCTGATTTTGTTAGATGAGAAAGTAGACCAATCTGAAGCCATTAAAGCCTGTAGGAGGGAAGGAAAGTTGAGGATTATAAGCGTGAGGAAAAGGACTACCAGAAAGGATGGAAGAAAGGCTGAGGAACTCTGAACATTACTTTATCAAGTTCACGTCAGTTTTTTGCTTACTGTAGCTGTTTTGTGACTGAATGAATTTAGCTTTGGGTCTAGTTTGGTAGAGGATATATCTAGAAGAGACTTTACAGTAAATTTTCTCCATCATAAGAGGAGATCTACATTTCCATAAGAATTCACACCTAAACCTTAATGAATTCCCAAATCAGTAAGGGATGAAATCTCTGTAAGTCTTAGTTACTTTCTTCATTGCTGAGACACAATACCTAACACACAAAATTTAAAGAAAGGTTTATTTTGGCTCATGTTTTAGTCCATGATGGATAGGCTCTCAAGAAAGAATAGTGTGGCAGAGGATTGTGGTAAGAAGTTGCTTACCTCATGGTGGTGGGGAAACAGAGCTAAGAGGAGCCAGGAGGGAGATACACCCTACCAGGTCATGCCCCCAGTGGGCTCCCTCTTTCATTCAGGCCCTGCCTTCTAACGGCAAGTCAGCTATGTCACCGCCATAATCCAATCACCTTTCAAAAGCTCTGCCTTTTAGTACATGAGGCTTGGGGGGTCATCCAGATATAGACCTTAAGACCACACGACGGTGGGAAAGGTTTATGTAGGTAGAGGGGACTCCCCTGCCAGAGGTTTTCCCTGCTTTTATTAAAGCTTCCATTTATAGATACAGAACTTCTTCCATTAAGTCATCCACTCTTGGTATTCTTTCATCAAGATCTGGGCTATACTTGCTGTGCTAAATCCTCTTTTCTTCTTTTCCTCCTCCTCCCTCTTCCTGTACCCCTCTCCCCTACCCCTCCTCTTCTTGTGGTACTGGGGATTGCCTTTGCACCGAGCTAAATCCTCCGCTTTGTTTATTTATTCATTTCACATTACTAGGAATTGAACTCAGGCCTCTCTCTCTCTCTCTCTCTCTCTCTCTCTCTCTCTCTCTCTTTAAGGCAGAGACTTGCTAAGTAACTAAGTTTCCCAGTCTGGGCTTGAACTTGGATCATCCTGCCTCAGTCTTCCAGAGTGCTGGGATTATAAACCTGTGCCACCACACTCTGCTTGTGCTAATTCTTCTTGACCTGAAGACATCAATCTCTTAGTAGGCAGAGGACCTGTTGAATGAGAAGCAGTGCTATCCCCAGAAAGCCTCCTCTACTCACCAGACCTGGAAATGATGCTGCTTCTCTCACCTGTGGCAGGATTTCTACCAGTCAGGTGGTCTTTATCTAGTATTTCCTTGTTTTATAATATATGAGACAAACATCCTTATTAGGTTGTAAACTCCTCAAAGATAAATATCATGACACCATTTATTGTATTTTCCATGCCACACAATATATACTAAGTTGGACATGGGAGGGATGCAATAAATATTTAAGAAGATACATTAAACACAGTCTTTCAAACAAAAAATACAGACGAAATGTCAAAGCATTAAATACACACACACACACACACACACACACACATATTAATGTGAGTTACCTGTAGTATGTTAAGATATTTGTTTCACATCTAAACTTTTAATTTTGGGCTACATGTGGAAGGGTTTTTAGTTTCAAATTTGTCCTCTTTCTTTCTCTTTTTCTTTCTTTCTTTTTCTTTTTCTTTCTTTTTTTCTCTTTTCCTTCCTTCCTCCCTTTTCTCTTTCTCTTTCTTTCTTTCTTTCTCTCTCTCTTTCTCTCTCTCTTTCTTTCTTTCTTTCTTTCTTTCTTCCCTCCTTCCATCCCTCCTACCTTCCCTCCCTTTCTCTCTTTCTTTCTGTCCTCAAATAGGAGAGGTTTAAAGAAGTGAAGTGTTTGCTTTAGTGTGTTCTACCTAGTTGTTAACAGGTTCTGGGGTGCTACCGACTCTTTGTAGAGATTCTAGCATCTTCTTGTCTCAAACAAAGAACTGGAAAAGCAAGCTCAAAAAGTAGTGAGGTTTCACATTTATATTTTTGGTACCAGGGATCGAATTCGGATCCTTGCACCTGTGAGGCAGGAGGGAGAACCGCTGAGCTAAATTCCCAGCCCTACATTTATTGAAGGTAGGAAAAGAAACATTCTCTGCATAGTGAGTACAGGCCAATTAAAAGAGGAAAAGAAGTGCGCTCTACAAGATGGGAGTAGACCACAGTGAAAGAGAGAGCACAGTGCCCAAGGGCTTAATGGTCACCGTCTTTTGTATCTCCCACTCCTCAGGCTGATGTCAAGTCTATGCAGTCCTATTAAAAACCTGCTTGAGTTCTCTTGAGAAGAATTGAAGGCAGCAGTTTCTGATCAGAAATGTTTCTCTGTATATGTTCTGCATACTCACCTGCCCAGCCGGCTGGCCACACCCTAATCTCCTGCTCCACTCTCAGTAACAAAACCAGGAGGAGAGCCCACATTTTCTGATGCTGGTCTTGATGTTCTTTTTACTTAATCATTCAGAGTACAATTATTTATTGTGTACCTTTTATAAACCAGATGCTGCCCCTGTGCTCAGATATCAGGAAACAAGGTAGAAACCATTCGTGGCTCTTACAGAGCACAAAGCATTATAGACAAGACTGGAGAGGCTTGTGGATGGAAAGTCAGGGCTCTCAGAATGCGCCTATGAAGGTAACCTGTCTTACCCAAGGAGGAAATGACATTGAAATCAAGATGGGACCAGAAGAAGCCAGCCAGACAATAAGAGAAAATATCTCAAGTAAAGTCTTTGAGGCCAGGGAAGCTCAAATGAGGAATAAGCAGATACAAATAACAATAGTTATAATAATAGAAATAAAATAAGCATAGTTAATATCATTTAATACTTAATATGTGCCTCAGCCTGTTTGTTCTAAATGTTTTATTACTTTGTTTCACTTACTTTTTATCACTCTTAAAGAGGTAATTATTCTCACCACTTTATAGATTATGAAAGAAACAGAATGTGACATTTCTAGAGGTAAATATGTCATAGATATACAGTGATATCTTGGTCACGAATTTACTTCTTCCCATAATTCTGGTTGCAAGCCAGGATTCAATTCCATTGAATTGGAAGAGAACCAAATTAAATTCAATGGTTAGGTTTGATGTTGACCTTATGGGGAAATTTGATTTGATCCTTGTCCAACTCTGTTTATGACCAGAATTATAGAAAGAATTAAATTCATGAATTGAGGTACCACGGTGCTTTGTTTCCACGTGACATACATACAAAGCAAAATTTTTAATTTATACAAAGAAATGTGTTATATCCTGTATCCCTATAAACCCATAATGGTCTTTATTTATTCTTCATTTTTCTTGGTTTTATTGCAAGCAAGAATAAATAATTCTTTTCTATCAGAAAAGTGATGTACGACAGTGATGGTGACTAATGGCTTCAGGATCAGTGAGACAACTAGGAATGGGAGGAACCCTGGAGAAGTGGGTAGCATCCTCTTCAGGCCTCCTGCCAGCTCTGGAAATATAGGCCCATCGTTGCCAGATTCTTCAAGGTTTCAATAGAGACAAAAATTCCAAGTTTTTATTTGAAATTTCCCAAGTTTGAAATTTGGCTCAAATTTAAAATGTATTATCTAGGCCAGATAAAATATGGCTCTGGCTTGCATCAGGCAAAAATAGAGGATTGACACATGAAATACAGCTGGGGAGGAGTCAGGGGTTAAACTGCAGAAGCTGCCGGAAACCATGGGCTATAATCCAATGATGGAGAATATTTTGAGAAGATTTCAAGTTGGGAAACAAAGGGTCACATTCACTGTGGGTTGAAATGATTACCTTGCTACTGCAGGGCTCTGACAACTTTTAAATAGAGCATTGCTCAGCTCTGAGGAGTCCCTCCCAGGGCCTCTCATTTTATCTCACTTTATCTCTTTTAAAGACCAAATGTGCCTTTCTTAGTTTCCTAGCTCTTCACTTTTACCTCAGCAAATCTTCACTTTGCTGTATGTCTCACGCCTGACATCTGTTCAAATGCCCTTTCTTTCTCCTTCTCGAGGAAGACAACTTGTAACTTCTCTCATCTTCTCAGGGGCAATAAGTCAGCATCCATGATGATGTGAACAAGGTTTTTACAACCTGACAACAGGCAAAGAACTCCAGGTTGTACCGTCTTGCTAATAAACAGCTGTTTAGTTTTAACTCTCAACCCCAGAGATGAGGCCTCTGAGTTACCCCAAAGATGGCTGTGGACCAGAATGGGTTTGAGAGGGGAGAAAAGCAAGTGTCAGGCTCACCTGGTCTGCAGGAGGTACAGTTGAAAGGCCCACTTCCTCGGCATCCTTGGCAAGTGTGGTGGCATGGACGGCACTGGTTCTTAAATTCAAACTTCCATGAGGGACAGTTCAAGACACATCGGCCATCATCAAAAACCCTAGAAGAAAAGCAGAATTTCAGAATTTATCAGGGTGACTTCCCAGAATGGGCCTAAGTATCAGAACATGTGGTATTCATGTTTTGCTGTACAGATCTGATTTCATTTTTCCAGAAATAAAAGGGTTGCCTGGGACTGATCATCTAAGAACATGTGAAATATTAGTCATGTACCCATCCTTGGCCCAAGACTTTGATCCAACAGCAGGCATGCCAGAGACTGGCTGAGCATTCAATCCTGTGTCTGGTTCCAAATAACCTAACTGGTGCTCACAGGGATTAAATCCATATTGTAGGCTCCAGCCAAATCCAGCCAATAGTCAAGGGAGGGCTCTGAACTTTCAAGATGCTTAATAGGCCTCTGAATCCAGAGACTTTGGAAAAATATTCTCACTTTAGTTATCAGCTTGCCCAACATGGCAAGGGAAACGTCAGCTCCAAGGCTATTGAAGGGTAGAATGAAGCACTGTTTTGCAGCTCAGGTGCTACTTAGGAACTCGTTCTGTATATATCACAAATAATCAGTGAACTCTGATTTTAAATATCATTCTTTGCAAGTATTTCCTGCTATGTGGGTTACCACAGACTCTTTTTCATTAACCAAGCTTGGAAACGGGTACAAGGGTTTTAGAAGTAAGACAACATGTGAGCTTCTAAAAGCTTTGGTTTTATATTTATATATGTCATAATGTTATTGTTAATGTTTTCATGCTTTTGCTTCATTTTTTTCTTGCACAGTGACCATAAAAGTAAGTGTGTTTATGGGCTGGGGATTTAGCTCAGTGGCACCATGCCTGCCTTGCAAGCACAAGGTCCTGAGTTCGATCCCCAGTACTGCAAAAAAAAAAAAAAAAAAAAAAAGAGTAAATGTGTTTAAGTAAATTGCATCGAAGAATTTTCTGCTCTGAAAAGTATATAAAATGTTTTGGTCAAATAAAATGCAAGAGTCATATAGGTAATGTGAATAGACAGAGTGGGGGCTGTTCCTCCTTCAGAGTTTCTGATTGAATAGGTTGCAAGATGGAGAGGGAACTAAGAATTTGCATTTCTGACAGCTTCACAGGTGTTGCTGACACTACTTGGTCAAAGAACACATGTTTTTGGTTTGCGTCTTGTTATTTATTTTTAACTTTTTATTTTTGAATAATCTTATTAATTGTACGCATTAATGGGATACAATGTGATATTTCAACACATACATACAGCACATACTGATCAAATCGGGGCAATTAGCATTTCTCACTTAGCATTTCTTTATGTCTGGAGACTTCAGTTCCTCTCTTCTATATCTTCGTCAAATGCATTAAGCTATTGTGAACTACAGTCACACCACAAGTGCTGCCGAACACAGAACATATTTCTGTGATTGGTACCTGTTATCAAACTTTTCTCTCTTCCCTCTCCCTTCTCACTTTCCTCAGTCTCCAGTAATTACTATTCTATATTCAGATCAACTTTTTTTTTAAACTTCCATACATGAGCAAGAATATGTAGTATTTGTCTTTCTGTGTCTGGCTTATTTCACTTAACAAAATGTCCTCCAGTCCACTCATTCTGCTGCAAATGATGGATTTCATTGCTCTTTGTAGCTGAACAATACTCTACTGTATGTGTGTGTCTCTGTGTGCCACTGCATGTCTGTGTGTGTACACAGATAACATTTTCCTTATCTATTCAACTGTTGATGGGCACCTAGATTGACCCTATACCTTGGCTATCATGAATAGTGGCACTATAATCAAGGATCTACAAGTATCTCTTTGGTGTGATTTCATTACCTTTATAAACCCAATATTGGGATAGCTGTACCATATGGAAGGTGCACGTTAAGAACCACTGTGCAATGACAATCTGCAATATGTGGAACTTGCCAAGTAAATTCCAATGTATGTGATGGTAAGTTAATGTCTCTTAGAGTTTCTATAGAACAGTAGTTTCTGTAGCTCTTGTATGGCTGACTGAGCACATAGTGGCACACATGTCCCTGAGAGCATAATGCTCCCACTGAGCAGGAGAGCTGATGGCCCTGCCAAGGAAAGGATGGCTTCCTTCTCTCTCTACTGCTTCCCTCTACTTGGGTCTGGCAATACACAAAAGACCAATTATAGACCTGGAGCACTTTTTCCTGGGTTGGCTTGTCTAAACCCCAGTTTCCTGAGGTGGAGCCAACCCTGCTTAACCTGGAAGGTGGGCCATTTCAATGTAGGGGTTTAGAGTAACATGAGGTGCTGTCAGGGCATCCTGAATAGTAAATCATATGCAGTTTTCCATCTGGGTCATTCCCACATCCTAAAAGTCTTTGTCATTTGTGTCAGTTTGGCAACAGAAAGGAATTCAAGCCAACAACCTAACACACAAGGTCAACTTGTTCTGGGAGTCCCAGCCCATCAGATTCTGGTCGGTAGACCCAGCATGATGGAGCAAACAATTCTTTTGGCCTCCGGCAGAGCATAGAGTCCCAGCTCCAAACAGACTTTCATACATCTGGCTGCCTCTGTCAAAGTCAGATTTTTGTGAGGGCCCCTGCATCGTGTGAATGGGTTCCTATTCTCCCAGTTTAGATTTTTAGCTTTTGGCACCAATGCCAATGGGGAATATCCCAGCCTGGTTTCTGAGTTAGGAAATTTTTCAAGAAATAGCTTGGAGAGGGGCTAGTTTTAAAAACAGCAACAAAACTCCAAAACTTCCTTGTAGAAAAGACTGCACAAGGGCAGGATTTAAAATGAGGAAACTGCTCAGTGTGCTCCAGAAAAGAAGAAAGGGATGAGTTCACTCCAGGGGTCTGGTTTTTTGCTAAAGTTGGTTGAGAAAGAGATGTGAAGTGCATCATGTCCCTAAGGAAGAGAGGACAAATCGGTTTGGGTGAAATTGTTTCTCTTGGGAGTGGTGACCTAATACTCTCAATGGGAACCATTTATGCCCTTCCAGACACAGGGCAGGAGGTGGGAAGCATAACATTTCTAAGTTTTTTCAGAAAGAAGCCACCTTTCTGAATTGATTTTAAGAAAGTATCAAACACAAAATTGTGCTTAAATCACCCCCCCTGCCCATGCACATCCTAAGGAAAGTTTGTGATCTGCCCACTTTTTGTAAGAGTATGAGTCTCTCTAAAGAGGTACAGGAAAAACAAGCACACCTAAGCAAAGGCAGTGAATTATATCACACTCCTTCACACTTTAGCCCTCTCAAGAAAAATTTCTAAAACATTTGAAGAAAAGTCCTGTGTCAAATGGTCACAGTTTTCTACAGGGAGCAACAGATACTACCAGTGGGAAAATAGATAATTTGCTCCATGAAAGTAAAAAAATGAGACTGATAAAAATATTCCTTAAAATGTCAAGGTATCTTTGGGACCACCATCATCCAATTCATGGATGTCTGAGAACCCCAGGCAAGCTGTCTCTATAGAAGAGCTTCTCCTCCCTGCTCATGCTTGCTCTTGACCTTTTCATAGGTGGAAATGCATCCCAGGTCCAACAGAGCTCAAAACAAAGAAGGTGGTAGAACTAAGTGGTAAACAGATGGGCAGATATGATCTCAATTCTGGCTTTCAATATTCCAGAAGCTGAGAGAGAGAGAGAGAGAGAGAGAGAGAGAGAGAGAGAGAGAGAGAGAGAGAGGCAGACATGAACTGTAATGGAAGAGATAGAAAATCAGAGTTAGCTGGTCCTCTGTGATGACTGTTGTCATGACCTAGAGAAATCACAAGAGCACTTAATGTAACTTCTTGGTGCCTTAATGTTTTAACAGAATGAAACCTGGTAAAAAGTCTTATTTTCTCCTCATTTATTGAAGCAGATTAAATAAAATGTTGAAGCCTGGGTAACAACAAAAGTAACTTTTAAATGCTTTTAATTAGTTTATCGACTTCATGTCTCCTTCAGGACAGGGCTGGAAAATGAGCTCGGGCAATGAGGACCACAGCATTTCAGAGCTTTGAATGTTAAATACATTCACCCCAAGTTTTCAATTGTCTCTGAGGAGCTAAATCCAAAGATTTATAGAAATTTCAGGGGAAACTACAGGATGCAGAGATTACTCCCCAAAAGTTGATTTCCTATAAAACAACTTCAGGGGTAAATTCTCTTATTTTAAAAAATGTATTACGGAAAAATTTAAACATATACAACAGTAAACAAGTACAGTCATATAATAAACATATATAAAAGACATAACAGTGCCCCCCCACCATGTAGTCATCATTCAGTTTTAACAATTATCAACCTCTGGCTAATCTTATTTCATCTACCTTCCCATTAATTCACTTTCATCCTGCATAATTTTGCAGCAAACCTGCAAGATAAATATTGATATTCCACTCCCAGATGACAGCTCTTTGAAGATTATTTTACCAGGACCTGAGCTACCCAAAGGCTTAAGAACAAGAAGAAACTGAATGAGACCACCTGTCCTGGTTATTTTGTTGTCTCCCCTTTCCCCCCCAGCCCAGATTCATTTTTGGCCATTGTCTATCCTGGTTTTTGTCCTACAAGTGAACTCACTACACATTACATCTTGAGCTCACTTATTCTCAGTTGTAAGTTGTATTTCCCACTGTAACTTGTATTTTCCAGATAGTTTCAAAGAGGAAACATCATTTGGAAATCTGAATGCAGGCAAAAAGAAATCAGTGATATTTATTAGCCCCTCATAAGCTGCTTCTTACTTCTAGGCTGGGGTAGAGATTATGTGTCTTATAGCTCCCACTTCTACTAGGTGTCCTCTCTTCTGTGGCTCCATCTCTTGCCTCAGAGATAGGGTATTACAGTTTCCCCATAATTTCTATTCTTTTTATTTGCCACACTTCTATATATTTTTTCATTACAAATGAACATATGCTCATGATGAAAAGAAAATATAAATTTAAGCATTACAGAAACTCCTCTCCCCCTGGAACAACCCCAACCATACTTCTCAATCATATGCGGGTTATTCTTTCTTTATTAGTATATGCTTGTAGTATATGATGTTCACATTCTTCTTAGGGTTAGGTACATAAAATTAACAGATCTTCATTCTTTTTATTGATCTTCCCTTCCCCACCCACCTTTCTCCTACCATCTCTGGATTCCTTTCCCCATTTTCATTACTATTGTTATTTTTTTTTTAGTTCATGTTTGAGACATACCATGACTGTTGGTAGTTGGTACATGTATTTGATTATACACTTTATCAAATTCAATAAAACACATTAATATGGGGCAGTGAAAGGCCAAACACACCGAAATCCCTGCTCACCAGGATAGGCTCAAGGAAGAATTAGGACAGAATGGCTATTGTGTGAAGGAGAGGGAATGCCCATTGTAGAAATGCCAAGCTCTCATTACTGCAGCAGCCTCATCTCGCTGGTCGGGGAAGAGATCTGCTTCTTACACATTTAGTTAAGGAGTGACAAGGCTACTCATTCAAACACAGTGCAGCCAACAAATATTAAGTGGTAGAGTCAGAGGAGCATTGACCAAAATCACAGCAGACCTCCCACACTGTTCACTAGGAACGCCCAGTGGATTATTAGAGTTGCTTATTCCACTTACAAGCATTCTATTCCCATCATCACTTGATAGTTAAATATTTATTGAGTGCCTACTGCTTTTGCTAGCACTGTGGTATGTACAGGAGATACAAAGGTGAGCATCTCAATGAGCTTGCAGTTTCATGAAGAAAGGTACTTGTAAACAAATGTCTTTGCAGTTTATAGGTCAGTTGTACCGGGAGGATGTCAGAAATGGCTTCATGGGACAGTTTACCCTTGAATTGACTCTAGAAATGCATAGGCATTTCCTTGGTAGACGGAAGTGATGGTTGAGAGATGGATGTGCAGAATGGAATGAAATTCCAGGTATCAAAAGAAGCATCAAAAGCACTATCTTCATTGATCATAAAGCCCTCCCAGTGTCCAGGAAACTATTCCTTGCAGAAGGTACTGAGCATCACGGGGAGAGGATGCTACAGAAGTGGGTGGTGGTCAGACGAAGGAGAATTTCTGCCATGGGAAAGTGTTCTGCTTCCTGCAGGCCCATGCGGTGTGCTGAGGTAGTTAGCACTTCCCCTCTCCACCTGTAACAGAGAGGCTACTCACCTTGTGATGAAGCAGCTGGTACACTCTTCCTGGGTTGGCCCCTGGCACTTGGCACACGAAGCATCACAGACCTGGCAGCAGCCATGCTCATCAATGAATTCCCCTGGGGAACAAAATCTAGTTGTTTACTTCATTTCTACATGGTGAGACTGCCAGAGCTGTAAATCTGAGAGCAGCCAGATATCTCTATGCCTGCCTGAAGCAATGGAGAGAGCACAGAGAGAAAAGAGGCCCCGAATGCCCCAGTGACCAGCTCTAAACCCTAACTTTATCGTAACAATGGCTCCTTCCCCAGAGGCCCCAGAAGTTGTAACCTTCTAAAATTATGAGGCAATGACATGATTTTGGACCTAGTCAACATGTATTACAGATTATATAAGTAGGGGAGGCCAAAGGGGGCTTCCCACCAGACCCCTTTACTTGTTTCTTACTGACTTCCTCATTAAAAGCTGAAGCTGTAGGCCTACAGAGGACATTATGGTCATGATTCAAGTCAAGGAGTGAGCAAAGCTCACTCATACCTTGTGCAAACATCCTGGAGGGGAGAGACTGTGGTTACTGGGCAAGAATGGGGGTTGAGTCTTGCCCTATATTTGGCAGGTATGAGCTACGTCTTATCCTACAAGAGTAACAGTGGAGAAATAGCCAGATCATTCTTCCTGAACTGGAAAGCTTATCTTTCCCCAGGAAAAACACATATGAAGTCTTGCCACAGAAATAAGTCCAGCCTCACAGATGTCTTTTGAACATTTAGGAAATTACTCTCATGGCAAAGGTGGAAGAGAGAGGTCAACTTCATTGAAAGTGCTAATCCAAAGGCAAGCCTCTACTTGGTGAATTCAACCCTTCTGTCCACATCATATTCATCCTTCCCTGCCTTTGTCTGAAAAGAAATCAACAAGTTTCTTCAGCCAAATCCAGAAAGCTAGTTTTCTTGGTTTGCAAACAGATCATGCTCAGAAAATACAGTTTTGGATTTTAACAGTCATAACCTTCCGTCAACCCCACACTACCCCCAACTATGACAGCCCTGTAAACATCTGAACATTGTCACTCTGAGATCCAGCTGGTGTGATGAGGTAGGATGACCCACCCACAGCTTACTCAAGCTGTCTCACTGATACTCTATGAGTTATTGCCTCATGTGTTGTGTTTGCATTGAGAACAGCCCTAGAAACGTAGACTTTACTGGTGAGGGATAAAGGGAAATCCATTCCCTTGCTTTTGTCTCATTTGTTTACTGAACTGGTATACAGTTAGGAAAGATAAGTCTGACACACATCAATCTTCCACTTGCTAGAACTAAACGACAAAAATAGAAATGAAGAGATTGGTAGAGCTTGGTCATACACAGCAGAAAAGCCTTTCATGTAAAGCTTGTAAAGTTATTCTATGAATTTTGCTAACTGAAAGGGAAAGGGACATATTCAGATCAAGCAACTATCTAACAGCAGCCTACCTTACACCCTTTGGACTTAGTCTCCTAAGTCTTTTAATTGTTACCAAGGTGCAGTGTGGACCAGGAATCTGATATATAACTTTTAGAATGAAATTGTGGTTCTTAGCTTAGTAGTGGAGACCTAGCCTCCAAAGAGTACATATTCATCAGGGACAAAGAATGTAGGTATGAGGGATGATTACTGCCCAAATGGTCAAGTGACAACTCAGTACAGCCCGTTTGTCACACCGTGCCATGTATTCTGGTGTTGCTGCCTCTGCATTTGTCAGGGACATCATTCATTAACTCACAAGAAGATTGTTGAATGGACTAGCAATCTTGGGAATCAGCTGCTGCAAGGCAGGAAAATACTGTGGCTTCTGTCTAGTAGGACTGATGATTTCAAGTTTAGACTGTCACAATACAAAAATCTTCTTTTTATTTGTTCAGACTTCCCCACTCAACTTACTTATTGCCCTTACTATTATTTTTCACATTGTTTTTATAGGAGGCAAGTCCAATTGAACATATGATTATCAGTCCAGGCACCAGAAAAATAAGAGGAGAGGATCCAGGGCAGACTAGGTGGGGAGAAATAGATCTTGCCTACAAGGGCCACCACAAAATATTTGTGTTTGTAGAGTTAGATGTATTTATGTGTCTTTCAAAATGTACATGCTAAGTAGAATAGGAATAGAAGGTCACAGAGACTTCAAAACCCAAAGAAAGTATATTGTAGAGAAAAATAGGCTCATAGCATAGCTTCCCCATTCATTAATTTATTCATTCCGTGGATTTTTTAAACATCTACATACATGCCAGAAACTAGGTGAGATTTAGACACACATGAATTAGGTTTTCAAAGGTTTGTGAAAAGAATGGTTATAAGGAAATAGTTATAACCCACATGCTAGCTAGGAGCCTTCTACTTTCTTAATCTAAAGACTGACACAGAAGGGCAAGAGCATGCACTGAACTCTGTTAGATCTTTGAAGACCTAGAGTCAAAGACATCACTGTGCCTTGGCATCAGTGTTTCCAGGTTCTGACGCAGTGATTTGGTTCTTTGAACTCTTCATATTCACCCACCTTAATCCCCATCCTGTAGCAATGCTAAGATATGCTTTCAAACTAAAAGCGCATTGCTATGCTAAGTCAAAAGTTGGATAGGTGGTCCTAAGAATTATGCAAAGTTTTCATTATAATTACAGATGACACCCTGCTAGGTCAGGTAAGGGTTGTTAGGATTTAAAATTCTCTCTCTTTTGCCTCTTCATTGGCTTCCATAAAGCAGTAGGTGGCATTAATATCGAGGCTGTGTATTTTCTCTATCTACCTAAATATAACAGCCTCTATTAGATTCACAAGCGGCCTCTTTAGATGTAATGACCACTAAACATTGTATATCTCCAAGATCTCCAAACAACTTTGTTATGACCCCACTATGATTCCATATCACCGCAGGGGCTCCCTGTAACTGTGTGGTCACCTTTTCATTCATTTTTTAGCTCTTCCTTGAATTCTTCACTCAGGCTAGGTCAATCAATCCTGAAACTCAAGTTCCATCCATTCCTGCTCTGAAGGAGACATTTTCTCTAATTTGCTGATAAGATATCTGAATTCCCTTAACTTCCTGTTTCTCAATGTCAAAATTCCTCTCTGTATTCTCCTTGAAAGTTTGATCATCTCCACAGTCTCTGAGGAGGGTATATCCCTTTTCCAGTCCATATCAGCTCTCTGTCAATGATGTTTATCTTCTTTCCTCAGGTTATTTCTTTGCCATTCTTCTGTCTTCAATCTTTTCTTCACATCTCCCTTTGATTTACAAAATATCTCCTTTAACCTCAATCTTTCAAAGCCCTTTCTCTTCCTGATAAGTGATTCTTAAAACTTGTTTTTACTCCTGCTCCTTAGAAACAAAATGGAGAAAACATCATGACCTCGAAGCTTATGTAAGAGCATCAGTGAAGGAGAGCTTCTCCCTTCTTCAGTCTGCATGCCTCTTCATTTCAGAGTAAGCTCTGGCTTACAACAGATGAGAAGGCAGGGACCTGCCCCAATTCTCACAGTTATGTAGATGTCCAATTAGTTACATAAACAACTGCCCCCAGCCCTTACAGGCACAAGTTTTCCACTGCGCATTTGGAACTGAAGAAGTCAGATTCCAAGGACATTGGGGAGTTGTTTTTTGTTTTTTTTTTTTGAGTTGTTGGAGCAGCAAATTCTTGTCATCTGTCTTCATTGCACAATGAAGTTGAATGTTTATGACAGGCGTGATATACAAAATTCTTAGAAAAAGTCACTTTTAGCAGAGACATCAGGAGCCAGTAATTTGTTCTTTCCCTGATCCTGACATCTTTGTCCGATATTATTATGTTTAAATCGCCTTTCTCTTTTGATCAAAACATTTCCATTCCCCTTTTAGTTCCTTTTTATCCTATCCTATAAGGGTTCAAAAGCCACTAAGGAAGTAGGGTCACATGAGGAAGGAAGAACTACACCTTGAAATTTGAAGACAAGGCTTATAAAGGAATGCTTATAAATTTAAGAAGATACAAGTAAGTGATTTCCTCTGCTTGCCCAACCCTGATAACATTGCACAACGTTGTCAACAAGTCTCCAGTTATAAATAAACCTTATGAAGTCATGCAGAGAGGTCAATGTGTATTACATCATCCCAGGTACCAAATGTGATTGAAACATGATAATTGTTAGGTTTTCATGATCAGAGGAGCTTTGTTCTAGGAAGCTATGCTGTGATGAAGAAATACTCTGATGTCATATATGGAGATGTCACAATGAAACCCACGAATTTATACAATTAATTTATACTATTAATGATAGTGATAAGAGAAATGCTATGCTCTTATAGCTCATAAACTATTTCATTATTGATTAGAACCAAATCTATTGTAGAATTTATACAAATAAATATATACCTTACCGAATTAATAAACACATAAGTAAATAGATTGTGATGTGAGCTTAATGCATCTTTTTAGCCAGGAAGAGCAACTAATGAAAATTCAGGTGCTTGGTTTTTGACCTGGTTATTTCATTGAGCAACTTTGTGTACTGAATTGTCTTGAGAACTCTGTGAGAGTCTTACTCATGTGCTTTATCACACAGATGCCAGGAATCATTATTCAATTATTGAATAATTCTATAATCATTCTATAATTCTATAATAATTGCATAAATTCTAATTAAAAATACTATCTCTTTGCAAGGATGACAATACGTAATTTCAACTTAATATACCACCATGTGAAGGCAATTTTCATGAAAAAAATTGTACATTTATTACTCTCCATCAGCTACAATAAATGCTCAGCAACATTTTCGACTAATTATATGCTAATGAAATAAGTCAGTCTTTAAAGCCTCATTAAGCATGAAGTTTTATAGCAAGGCTCAAAATATGAGGCCATCAGCTAAGACTGCAGTATTTTTAAAGTCTATGCAATCATTCAGCCTTAAAAAGGAAGAAGATTCTGACACATGCTTTGACAGGGATGAACCTTGAAGACATTATGTTAAATGAAATAAGCCATTCAGAAAAGGACAAATATTTTATGAAGTTCCCTAGAGCAGTAGGAGTCATAAGAACAAAGAATGGTGGTTTTCAGGGACTAGAGAAAGAGGGAAGTGGGGAATTATTATTTTATGGGTACAGAACTTCAACTGGGAAAGATGAAAATGTTCTGGAGCTGCGTCATGGTGATGGTTGCACAACAATGAATGTATTTAATCCCAATAAACTGTACACTAAAATAGTTAAATGATAAATATTATGCTATGTATTTTACCATAATTTTTAAAAGCCAACCCAATGAGTTTGTTCCTTAACAGGAAAATACTTAGTATTAACCAAAAACCTCAGAATTATCTGCCTTTGGGGATGGTACAAGAGCATCAGTCTTTTGGGGGTGGCAGTCAGTTGAACTGAGGCTTGGGAGACCTTCTGTGATAAGGGGAATAGAAGAAATAGAAGGATATACGGGAGATATGGGGCAAATGGAAAACTGTTGTGCCCTTTCTCAGGATCTTCAATAAGCAGAGTGAACACAGACAGCTAGAAGGTGATCCAACGCCTGGAGCTTGGAAGTGTTCAGGGGCCACTACCTCCCTATCCCATTGCCCATGGGTTCTTCAGGGAGACAAGATATCCTTCCAGAACCCACTACTTTTCCCTCTCAGGCATTGGCATGGAACCGTGTGGTCTCTTCAGATACTCTGTCTTCTCCTCTGTCACCCAGGGTTTGGCACTACTGCAAAAAGAATAGATTGTCAATTGTAGATTCACACACATACAAATATTTTGTTTCCTTCAGCTTACACATTGTTCAAAGAGCAGAATTAAGAGTTGATGCTTATTTTCCACTGAGTTTCGGGCCCCAATCACAGTCAGGAGGCTAAAAATAATGTATTCAAAGTGAAGTCTTGGCCAACGCACCCGAACATAGTGGTGATGTAGCAATTGCACAAGCTCCCATTCATTGATACTTAACATAGTACAAGCACTGTACTGTGTAATCTTTTACTTAGGCAACAACCCCTTTTATAAGTGAGAAACTGAGGTTCAGGGACATTCAATATCTTGCATAAATGTATTCAAATAAGCAAGTAACAGAGTTGGGTTGTGGCCCAGGTGTGTCTAAGCTTGAGCCTGAGCTCACACTCTACAATATTTTTCTGGTACGGATTCAATTCACTTCTCAGTGTTCCAAATAGCTTTGTTATTTGTAAGAACAAAGAGCTAAGTACATACCTCACCTAAACTACTTGGTGAGGTAATGGTATAAAAAAGGAGTTCACTATGAAAATAAATGGACACGGAGTGGGTACACTGCACAAATAAGATTTATTCAATAATTAAATATATGGTATAAATTTATTTTCTCTGATAAAATAACCATCATTTATTAAAAGGTAATTTTATATATCAAATAAACTGAATTTTATGGGTTTGTTCTGCCAACTGGGTGTTAATCTCCTAAAAGAACTCAAACATGTGTTTAGGAATTAGTAAAATAAATTGGATAGGGCTCTGGACAGTGATTTTCTATACTGTTTAACTGCCATCTAAAAATGAAATAAATTGTTGCCCCCAGATAACTTACAGGCAGAATTATGGTAACAACTTTTGGGTTCCCAATTTAAATGAAAATATATAGTACATGGAAGTTCTTGTATATCTTTTCCTTAATTAACAAGATTTGGCATTGCCTCTGTGTTAGGAAAGTCTCTCTAAGTCCTAGCATGAAGATGCTAGAATTAGAAAGGCAGGGAGAGACAAGTACCACATGATTTCACTTATATGTGTGATCTAAAAAAGTTGACCTCATAGGAGGAGAGAGTGGAATGTTTGTCACCAGGGGCTGGAGTGAGGGAGGACTAGAGGTGTTGGTCAGGGGTAGAAAGTCTCAGTTTGACAGGAGGAACAAAGTCAAGATCTCTAACATACAACATGGTGACTACAGTAAATGACAATGTATAGCCTATTTGGAAATCCCTAAAAGAGTAGATTTTTAAGTGTTTCACCACATGCAAAAATAATAAGTATATGAGGTAACAATATGCTAATTAGCTAATTTAGCCTTTCCACAATGTGTACATATTTCAAAACATCATACTATAGACCATAAATATTTGCAATTTTAGTTGTTAATTAAGAAAAAAAGATATCAAAGAGTTGGTTGCAAGACCTGGCAGACCCAAGGCAAGAAAAGGGCAGAAGTGTGATTATTATCTGCAATTAAACAAAATAAATTTACAAACCCTGTCATTGAACCGTGACTCAGGAAAATCAAGGAAATATTCTTGTGAGATGAGTGTGACAGATAGAAACCCATTTATTTCCCATCTGAGTTGAGTAAAATTTCTTGAGTGTATCGAGTGGGCTGTCTTTGCATTTGTGAGTCAGAAAATGTCATAGATTTTGCCAGTGCACTCCATTTCTTAACTACCAGAGTCTGGATTTTTATCCCCAAACATTTGCTCCATTTGTGGAACTCTTATGGGGAACAAAGGTACAGTGTATGATGTAGTAGCTGTCTAGGTTTTCACATACAGTCACGGAAGGACCATAACTTGAGAGAAGAACTTATTCACCTTTTGGAAAGCAACATGGACTGCCAGATTCAGGTCACCCCTGAAAGACTCTCATTGAGGAAGTGGGTGACTTGGGAGGGCTAAAATCTGAGAGATGGGGGGCTTCTCACAGAGAGATGCAAGCTGGCAGGAGGGGTCACTGCTGAGTAGTGCTTCTGTGTCACCCATGGGGAAGCAGGTGCTATCAGGCCGAGGGAATGTGCCATTTCTGGTTTCTTTGGAGTGAGGAAGGTAGGAGAAACTCCCCAGGGACACAGAGCCTTCCTGACACTTCTTGAACTAGACAAAGGTGCTAGAGGGCAGGGGGTTAATTCCCTTTCTTAGTCACTTTCTTGTTCCTGGGTCAAAATATTCAATACCTATCACTTAAAGGAAGAGAGGTTTACTTTGGGTCATGGTTCCAGTACCTGGATGGCTGCCTTCAAGACAGGAACAGGAAGTCAGAGAGGAATGAGAGAGAAAAAGGTGCTCAATCCACAGCAGCCAGGAGGTAGAGAGAGGGGAGGAGCCAGGGACAAGAATACACCCTTCAGGCTCATGATCCCAGTGACCCACCTCCAAACAGGCCTTACCTCCTAATACACATTTACTACTGAACTCATCAAGGGATGGATCCACTGATGAGTATAGTGCCTCATGACCCAATCACCTTCCACACACATGAGAATTGCGGGGGGATGTTTTTAAAGATCTAAACCATAACCTGCCCCAACTCTTTCCCATGGAGCTTGCTAATATAAAAGTATTTCCTGTTATCATTTTAGTCCTGAAACCCACAGATGAGACTTGCTATCATCCACTTTCATTTCTGTGATGACTCAAAGCCTCCCCCGCCCCCTCTGCCCACAACTGTTAGAACTTGATCTGAAACCTCTTCCAGGTACTGTTGTGATCGCCTTCCCAGCTCAGCTGCTCTGTGGGAAGAAACATCCTCAGTGCACTCTCCTTCTCTTCCTCTGTGCAAAACACGGAAAGCTTTCAGTTCACCTTTTCTCTCCTGCTCCCCCATAGCCTTTGTTTATGCCCTGCCCTCCTGTGGTCAAATATTTCGGCTTCACCTCTAGTTCAGAGAAAAGAGAAGCCCCTGGGAAGAGGCAGAATTGAATTCTAAGTCCTGGGGCTCTTGCTGCACAGCAGCTGGTCTCTGCTCTGATAATTGACAGTTTGTTCTTTAATTGGGTTGTCATTAGCACAGCGGATCCATCCGCTGTGGGTGCTGCCTTCTAAGAGATCTGCTGGTTTGTGCAGTGACAGGTCCAAAGGAACCGTTGCGCCTAGGAGACCACAGTGTCCTGGCCACTGGGGAAGCATTTCATTAGTCAGGCTGCCATATGTTTTATTGCGAGTGACTTAATTGTGCTTTTAAAACAGCCTAAGTGTGTGAATAAAGAAGGATCCCTAGTTTGCCCAGTGCCGGCTGTTTGTCTGCACAGCAAGAAGCAATATGTTGGGTAATTGCATAAAATTTGGAGTCATCCTGACCTGGGGTTGATTTTTGGCTCGCTGCTCCAGCTGTCTGCAATTAATCAAGTGCATATTTCCCTGACATTCCTCTTCTGTAAAATGTGGATAATAATCTCTCTCTTCTTAGGATGCGGTGGAATGCAGATGAGAAGACAGACCTAAAGCATCTATGGCAAAGTTTTATGATTATCAGGTACGTTAATTGGGTTATATCATTAAATCTCTGATAATAATGTAGGATAGCTAGGAACTATCAGCTTCATTTGACCAAATAAAGAACTCAGGCATCAGAATATTTACAGAATATCATTCAAACCCTGGTCAGACTGGATTGCAAATTGTGCTTTTCTACCACCCCCGAGGGAATTTGAAGAATGGATTGGCTGCATCTGTGGGTGGCAATGAGGCAACTAAAATTAATGACCCTGAGGATCAAGAACAATGACCTTTCAAAGCAACTGAGCTGCAAAATGCAACCTACACAAGTTATTTTTTATTATTACCAGCCCCTTGGAGACAGCCTCCCTGTCCCCAGCAAAACCAGCTCCTCCTGAACTTTGCAGTGGAAAATTCCAGAGCCGTGAGTGTGCCCTTCTCAGGCCCTGAAGTCCTAGTCTGTCTGAAATGGGTGCATTTCTGTTAGATGCAGCTTCTTCCCAGCACATCTCAGCAAGTCATGCTCAGAACTTGGGATTGTTGGTCCCAATGTAGGGTGGTTATTGCTGATTGGTTTAGCATAGTTCTGGGTGTGGATGGTAGACTTCCTAAAGAGAGAAGACCCGCCCTGTGTGTGGGTGGCTCCAGCCAATAGGTTTGTGGTCTAGGTGGAATAAAAGAGGAAAGAAGAAAGGAGGCTCACTGATTCCTGCCTATAATGCCATGGATTGTTCATTCTCTGTCATGCCCCTCTGCCATGCTGCTCTGCCTTGGAGCCAGCTGACCATGGACTAAAACCTCTACAGACTGTGAGCTGAAATAAATCTCTTCTCTTTCAACTTCTGAGTATCAAGTATTTTGGCCCAGCAAAAATAAAGTACCTAAGATCCACATGGCTTGCATCTTAGCAGAGCTTTAGACAGTCCAGAGCCTATCTGGGACTAGAACTTCTTGGAGCCTTACTGTAAAGAGAATTCCATTCCTCCCTTCAAGATGCCTCTTATCTGCACTGGATGTTTCGGTGGCCATGCGCTGTCATCTCCGGTGTCAGAGTAATGCTTTCCTTTGAGAGGTAGGAAACAGATTCAGTTCTTGTATCTGGAGCCAAATGTCCTACATGTGAATCTCATGCCTGCCTTGGCTAACTGTGTAAACTTGCACAATTTTTGAAACCTCTCTGAGTCCCAGTCAACTCATCAGTAAATGAAATAATGACAGCTACTGTCTTAGTTACTTTTCTCATTGCTGACACCCAAAGTTAAGGGAGAAAAGGTTTATCTGGCTCACAGTTTGTAGAGGTTTCAGTCCATAATTGGCTGGCTCTAAAGCAGGGTGGCATGGCAGATAAGCATCACAGAGGAGAAACAGCTCATGGCAGGCAGAAGGTAGCGCAACAAGGGACAAGACAAGCTCCTTTCTGTCCCTTGTATTGTATCCAGGCTACTGGGATTAGGGCGGTGCCAAACAAATCAGTGGGCTGATTTAGTAATCACACACCGTTAATCCTAGCACCCTCAATCCTAGTATTGCACCATGAATCAATCATACACTTTAGATTCAGCCACCTCTGAAAAAGCCCCACCTATGCGTGCATGAGGCTTCTGGAGACATCTAGACACAAGTCATAATAGCTACTTTACAAAGAGGTCAGAAGGATTAAATTAGTTAACACATTGAAAACTACTAGCACACTAGTAGGTACTCATTAAATATTAGCTATTACCATTCAGTGAGCAAGGTCCATGGGGTAAGTAACATGAGAGTAAAAAGATCTTTAGAAGAATTCACATCCCAACTTGATTCTTATTATCTATTGATGATAATTATCCTCTCTTTAACTTCATAGAATAAGATCAATTCCCCCTAATTTGTAGCTTTCTATTCATGTCCTGTGTAGTATCAGGTAATGTTCTGTTTTATGCTATGGTTGATTCAGAAGTACATGGGTAAATTAAAATGCCTAAAAGAGATTTTTTTCTCCATAGCTGTTCAGTGATCATTATGAGAATGGATTCCAATTTTATTAATGTCTTAGAACTCAACGAGCTTGATCTTGTTTTATTGACAACAATGTTCTGCTTAAGAACATAACAACCCTCTGCGTTTTCACCCCCATGATAATTGCACAATTCTAGAAGTATTAACTTGCTAAAAAATTGTGTTCCCTAAACCATTTTGTGATAGCGAGGCAGATCAGCTATTCCTCTATTGCCCAATATTATTCTTTTGTTTCCTTGTAGAGAAATCTTTCAGGAATAAAAGAAAATTGTGACTTTGATCTTCACTCAGCCCTTACTCCAGTGGTCAGGAATTGATTATGAGCTAATTTGCACAAATTCAATGTAAACCCAAGGAATCATTTCTTGGACATTAATATCATAAGAGGAATCTTGACTCATCAAAACATTTCAGAGTAATGTAGCTCAATGTGCTCTTTCTCTTTGATCTTTTCCCCTGATGCTTTGATATCTCCTGTAAGTATTCCAAGTGCATCATTTCACACCATCTATGCTATAGAGACTCTACTTCCACCAGTGAAACTGTCACCGCTACCTCCCTCCACTAGGTGGACCTTCATAGTTCAGGCATAAAGAGAGAGAGAAGTCACACAGAGGCATAGAGGGAACAGATAGGGATCTTGCAAAAATACTTCAGTCTCCATTAGAAAAAAACAAAATGTAGCTCTAGAAAATCCAGATGAGCTTCTAGAAAAATTCACTTTATTTGATAGAAGAGGCAACTGGCTGGAAGGTAGGCAAGTTGGTATCTGAGGTGCATTCAAATGTTCCTCATTTGAGTCCACCACCCTCTCCTCACCAAGTTCACCAATCAGGCCTTCTGTGTCTCCCCCAGGGGGGCCCTGCACCTTCTGGAACTGGTCACATAGCTGTCACCTTGGGGATAATTAGTCTGAGTCTTATTTTAAAGGGTGCTGGCTTTCAGAGCCCAGCCTGAGACTTAGATCTGCAGTTATTAGGCTGTGAGTCAGGCCTGAGTGTTGAGAGCCGAGGTAGCTTGCTGCTCCCTGGAAACTCGGGTCCTCGATCCACCCCTCAGGCAGAGCTGGTGAGTCAGGCCTGCCTCCCCTTCCCAAATTCCCTCTGGCTGTTGTGTGACCTGCTTTGACTCCTTATTGGTCTCAAAGCTGCTCCTGATATTCATCATAACCAGATTTTACATGGTGTGATGGGCCTGGGCCCTCAAACTCTCCTGGAGAGGCCTGATTCCTCTCCATTCTTCACAGCTGGCCAAAATATGCATGGACAGACTGTGGAAAAGCCGCCTGTGTGCTCAGAGAATTGGGCTTATGCAACCAGCTAATGTAATTTAGGTTGTAATTTTCTAAAGATGAATGTGTAAGAGGCCAATATTTTTTATGGAATAAAAACAACCAACTTCCTACAGTAGCAGGAATAGTGCTAGATATGCAAATGGCCAAAGCAGCAGGGACAAGAGGAAGATGTGATTGTGCTGTGAGGTTATAAATCCAGGTCTTGGGTCAAAGATAAGGGAATCTTTTTTATAAAAAGCTTTCTCAATTTTTTTCACATTAAATTCTCAGGGCCAGCTTATAGGGATGAATATTGTTCTCATTTTAAACACAAGGAGAAATTTAAGGAAAGTTAATTCAATGTCAAAGATCACTGAATTAGCAATAAAAATATCTACCACTATCTATTTAGTGATTATTATATGTGGAGAATTGTCCTGAGTGCCCCACATGTATTAACTTACATGATCCTGGGGAAGGGGAAGTTGGAGGGGTAGGGGAAAGGAAAGAAGGGAAAGGAATAAACATGAGAAAAGGAAAAAAATGGAAACAAAGTCTTTGTAAATAGGGAGTGGGGAGGGGTTGAAGGGTGGGCAGGGGAATGAGGAGAAAAATAAGAACCAAGCTATATCATATAAAGGTACAAATTCCCAATGATGAATGTCATCATATTGTATACCTAAAATGTACCAATAAAATTAATAAAAAAGAGAAATAGGCGGATTGTACACAGCTATGCCTGTATATCATAAAAGATGGATAAAAGTCATTAAATTTAAACATTTGTGTATCATATAGGATAAAAGAACTTTTAACAATAAATCATGTTTCAAAATCAAAACATTTTAAATATCTACTAGAAACATTTTATAATAGTGATTAATTCACCTCTGCTTATTTTATTTTAAAATTTGAATATTTTTCAAAGAAAAGACTTAATAAAAATGTTACTTCCTAAAAAAAAACCTTACAGGATCCTTACACTAACATCTCTGTTAGGAGGAAGGCACTGTGTACCACTTTGTTTATCATTCTCATTTTTCTGTTGATAAAATTGAGCCAATGAGACACTGGTCTATTAAGGCTACCCATTTTTTGACAGCTAGGACTTCAACCAAGGAGGACAGAGTTCAAACTCTCTTCCTTTAAGTAGGATTTTGCTGTAACTCTATTTCCAAAGAGTCGCAAAGATGGGATTTTATCTTCTGATGTACTTTTTTTTTTTGTACCAGGGACAGAACTCGGGTCCTTGCTCTTGTGCAGCAGGCAGCGGAACCACTGAGCTAAATCCCCAGCCCTCATCTTCTGATGTACTAGAAATTCAAATAATTGGTTGATTGTGTGTGTGTGTGTGTGTGTGTGTGTGAGAGAGAGAGAGAGAGAGAGAGAGAGAGAGAAAGAGAGAGAGAGAATTTGTGTTTGAAGAGAACACTCAATCCTAGACTCCACAGTCATGTAATACCTAAGTATTTGCTTGCCTGGCATTTTCTGGGGGTGTTGGAAGAAGGCTCAGTGCCTACCCTCTATGGAACAGACAGAATCAGTTCACCTCAAATTCTAAGGACAAAAGCTAATGTAGAATCAATTGTTCAAAATCAAAGAGTTTCCCAGAGCAGCTGGTTCTGATTGTCCTTCTCCCTGAGGACAGGATCATTTCTTCTTTATTTTTGAATCTCAGTGGCCTCAATGCATGAGTGGAAGATTGTTCCTAGATTATTTTGTGTTATTTGGTAGGAATTCATTAGAGTTTGTTTGTTGAACTGAAA